AAAAATGACAGTGCGCCCTAGGGCCCGTGCCCTGTCTCACTGAGTAAGGAGCTTGTGGACTGCGCGGTAAGCATCACGAACTGCAAGCAGCTGCGGAGGGCCAGGTCGTCCTCTGCCATTATATTCTTTCTTTAGCCAACATATCACTGATTTTTGGACCTATCAGGCTAGCATGTGCACATGCTAGACTCGGATACAGGTGGACGCGGACAGCAGGGTTATACAGGTGGCAGACAAGGTAAGTATTCTCTCTGCACGACTTGGCTATTACTGAGCTAATTTTGCACTAGCTCATAGAAATCCGGCTATGCTGATCTCTCCACTATGTCCCTCATAACTATCAAGTCCAATACCGCTTCCCAGGCTGAGTAGGGTGACCACTGCTGAAGAGCCTGGCACTTAGGTGTGAGTACTGCCTTCTCTGTTGTTACCATGAATAGCTCTAACTCATGCTGCAGATGTACTCTTGTGCTTACTGTTTATGCTGCCGAAGTTGTGATGAGTATATGACTATGAGAGGGAGGTGTAGCATACCAACATGTACCTAACATAATATATGTTTAAATATATGTTTTCCCTCATTAACATCTATGGTGCGATTGTGTGCGCCACGCCCCCGAAAGTGGTAACAATCTACTCGCACCTACAAACAAGCTACTGCCATACTGCGGTGAACTACTGAGCAAAGGCGGGTAGCTACTGGTGCCACGGAGGCGCAGCGAGAGCCACAGAGGGCTGCCGAATCGGGTACCATTCTACCAGTCTACCAGAACCCCGCAGCACCCGGAGCGCTGTGTGGCGCTGGCGTTTTTCCCTGATGCGGCGCTCTGTCAAATGCCGCACGAATCGCCATCGTAGCCCGGACAATGGTCTCCACCAGATCTCGACCCCACTGTCGTACCGCCGCCGAGATATGTGCGCATGTGCGCACCGCGAATGTCATGAGAGGGCCCCATAACCACGCTCAGAAGGACTTTGAACCCACAGAGTGGCTGCTCACACACTCCGCACCGGTTAAACACCGAGTCTCATGGACACAAACTCTCTAGAACCTTGCATCAAATGTCGCAAAGGGATTGGACGATACTGTACACGAGAATGGCCGCCGTGGGCGCGAGCCCCTCGGATCTGAATGTGGGTTCAGAGTCCGGACGAACGGCAGGGCGACCCGGAGATGAGTAGACCCCTGGTGTGCTCGCTGACTAGGCGAACTTGATAGCTTCATAGAAGGACTGAGAAGCCAAAGCGAACAGACCGAGCCGTGAATTTTATGTCACAGTTTACAGCATGGTAGGAGCCATGTCCTAGTACCCCAGGCTATGAAGCCAAATTGCATGAATGAACTCAACTGGGTACGCCTTCAGGCACGTACAGATACATACGACGGCCTATACATATCTACTAAACAATCTTCGGAAGTTCGGAGCAGGCGCGCACTCATGCATGTATAGTTGGCACCATATAACTACATATGTTCTAATTGCACTTAATGTATCTCCTTCGGCCGGTTCTTATCAAGGAGAGGATTGATCTCTTCTGTCATTCAAGTAATACAAATTTTATCATTGGGTACCTGTGCTCATTTAATCACAGGGGATGGCCTTGCGCAATCTCCCATGTCGTATAGCTCATCCAAGCGGTTGATACCTTTCTCTTTATCTTCTCTACAGCTCATTGTGCTACGTGTTAAGTGTTCACGCCGCTTGTTGGCCGCCGCTCGTGTCGAGAAGCTGCAGGCTATGAAAGGTAGCGGAGTACTCTATATGAAAGCAAGCGAGCCCTGGGGGCATAGCGCTGGCGAAGGTTCACTATTACTAGTACTTGCAACGTCGACCTGGGTGGCGTCGGGTGGCGTCGAGACTGTAGAGTTACCATCCGACTATGCGATTTCTCCATTTGGTTCCCTAGAGCGACATAGACCGAAATGGCTCCGGTGTCTTCTCACATGGCTCGCATAGCACCATCCGCAGAAATTATATCGACTCAAATTTATATCCTTGAGAAAGAGCGAGGTGAGGAACCAGAACGGAATATCTGCTGCCGCGGTCAAGCTCAAGACATGTGAATCTATGATGAACCTCGACTCGGACGTTGACGCCGCGGGCGCGCCTCTTGGTCCACGTTAGGACAAGCGCGGCCATGTTGGCGAGGACAAGTGAGCCACGGGTGGTGTACATGATTGTGAACAGCCGATATCAGTGTCTCTGGCCTGTCCTTTTTATTTTATTTTGTGGACAGTGCTCTATATGCAGAAATACGACTGTGATCTCTGGATCAGCCTCACAAGAGCCCACCAAACGATTACTGCTTCTTGCACACCTTCATGCAGTGGTTCTAGCTACGCCCGTGCATTCGGTTGTATGAATGAAGTCTGGTATAACACGGGAGTCTCGTGTACTGGCTCAGCACCGAAAGCGACAGCATGCCAGTTGGCCCATCGTGCAATCCAGATAGGGCATTCCACGATTCTTCAAACGTGAACTGGCTTCGTCGCATTACCTTCCAAGAGCTGGCGTACTTCGTTGTTGAGCGCTCGACCGCACCGCACCCTCCCTTGCTCGCAATCCAATCCGATAGCTCATATTAGCAAGTACCCATAAAGGAAGCGGAAAACACCATGGAGCAAATTGGAGGGCTTTACGTGACATCAGTCGAGAGGAATCGAGATCTACATTACGACGTTACAAGGCCCTTGCTGCGAAGATACTCGTAGTGCTCCGCGGTATGCCCTCTCACAGCTTTGTCGACGTCTCTCCGCCACAACGGCAGACCGATCTACGGTGCAGCCGCATCAAGACATGTCCAGCGTACACTGAATGAGCAGCACTTACCGCCCCGATAAGCACATAGACTTGATCCAGGAGGCTGTTATTGCCGGGCGACGAACCACGCGTGCTGCAGCGGAAAATGTGCCCTACCAGATCGCACGCGATATGGAACCGGCCAGCGCGCACACCCCGTAGGACTTGGGCCGCTATACTATCGGGCTCGGTACCAGTATCGCTCTCTTCGATCTTGAGGGTGATTTTGGGCTTCACCTTGTTTTCCTCGATGAAACCGGGGCTCAAGATATTCCCCGGGAAGGAAATGTGTATGTCGATGCCATACATGATGAATTCGCTTTGCAGGGTTTCAGCAAGACCTGGGACGTCCAGACATTAGCAGGGCGGAGAGCGTTGCGCTTTAGGTGAACACGCACCGCGAACAGCGAACTTGCCAGGTGCGTACGGGGAGTAGCCAACCATAGAAAAATAGCCGAGCACGGAAGAGGTGAAAACGATTTTGCCTTTGACACCGTCACGTACCATGCGCTTTGCGCCCGCCTGTTGAGACGAATGAGCACCCAAAAGTTTGGAAGCGAGGTTGAACACACACCAAGGCCGGCCACGCTTGCACCCAATACGTCTCTTCCATGCATAAACGTAACTCTTCCTCATTGCGCTCCACCCAGAATCCGGGACGCGATTTTCCCGCGCACGAAAACAGCGCGTCGGGGCACCGATCATCGCTCGCCGCGGCGACCGCGTCGAAACATGCTTCAGCCCGCTCGGCATTGTTAAGTGCAAAAGAGTACGTCTTGAATACCTGTTCTGGCGACTGCCGCGCGGCCTGTGTAGCAATTCGTGAGCTGACTGCCACGTTTAGAAACGCGTGCACGCACCTCGACTTTCTTCAATGCCTCGTCGAGCCTCTCCTGATTGCGCGCAACGATGTGGACGTGCGCGCCTTCCTTGGCAAGCAGGACCGCAAGACTAAGACCAAGGCCGGCCGATCCGCCCGTGACGAGGCAATGCTATCGACTGTTCAAGTATCCACACGGTGTGCAGAGCCAGGGCTAACACACCTTGCCCTTAGGATCCCACTTTTTCTTGCTGAAGAACATGCTCGCCGCTGCCCATGTCGAAGCGAGGGCGACGCAGAGAGCAACCGCGACTGATGGTGAGAACATGATGGATAAGAAGAGGAGACTCAAGCTTGCATCCAACAAGCTCGTCGTTGAGACGCGCCAGCGAGTGTCGAGATCAGTCTTTGACGCGTCCTCTGATGCGCCCCCCGCCGATCTAATGTTAGGCGCCTCAAGGCGACACCGTGATTTTGAGCAGACCACAACCACACGCCGGACACGTTCCCCACGCACCTTTGACCATGACCGACGCGGTGCTGCCCGAGCTATTCGACCCGATGCTGGACTATCTAGCCGACCACCTCCCACCGCAGTTGTACGATACCGTCGAGACCCTGCTCACCCACACCTACTCCCTCTTCTCGTCGCTGTTCACGCTCGCTCGCACGATGATCTCGAACTCCCCTGTGACATGGGATATACAGCAGATCTTGCCACCCCTCATCACACTACTCGCGGCATACCTCGCCCTTGTGAGCTTCTACCGCACGACGAGCTGGATGATCCGCACCGCGTTCGCCTTCGCCAAGTGGGGCTTCATCATCACCACCCTCGGCGGGTTCGCGGGCTACATGCTTGCAAATGCGAACGCAGACGGCGGGAACGGCCTCGCTCAATTCGGGAACGGCCTCCTCCCTACGCTGGGCGGCGTGCTCCTGGGCATGTTCAACCCTGATGCACAGAACAACGCGGGGCGCAACCAACGAGCAGGGCCCACCAGCCGGCCGCGCGCAAGGACATCACAGCGCAAGAAGGGTCAAGATCGTCCGAAGGCGTCGGAATCCTGGGACAAGCATCGCGAGTGGCAGTACAGCGAGCAGCAGCACCACCAGGCCGATGGTGGGGACGGAGCTAACGCTCAGCAGATCATCGGCAACATTATCGGCTCGGCGGGGAAGGTCCTCAAGGATTCAGGGATATGGGACAAGGCAAGGGAGGCAGCCGAGGGACTCAGTAAGAGCACGAAGGGCCAGAGTGAGGAGGGCTCAAGCAAGCGGAGGAAAGGTAAGGGATCGGAGTCGGGATAGAGCACACTGCAGTCGGGATTTTGGTACGAAGTTTTTCTTTTGGGTATATATGGTTCATTGTGCGTTTCATCTCTTCACCTCAATGCTTCGTGTCTGACTAATAGTCACCACCAGGTCTCATCTCCTCGGTGAGATGTTATGGCGGTATCGTCCGCCTGTATTTGTGGTGTTCCTGGGGATATGCTAGCTTTCGGTTCATTCGTGCCAAGATATTATCAAACCAAGTCTCCCTTTATTTGCCGTCCCTGACAGACTTCGCTCAGAATGCCACATCTGCTGGCCTTCGCGCACCATTTACCACCTTGGTCCATCCTATATGAATAATCTGCACGAACAAGCCTCATCTTATTTACATCAGAGAGTATACCTGAAGTCAGGCGCCCTGTCGCCCATCGCTTTGAGCTGCGCAGCGCTGTACGCGATGCCCTTCTCCTCCGTCTCTTGCATGTGAACCTCTCGCCTCGCGTTGATCCTGCGGTACACGACTACATTCAAGGCGAGTACGGTGATGCCGATACCGACGAACATGAGTTCCAGTGCATCTAGAGGCGATGTGAGCATGTGGGCGGAAAGGAGGATTTCGCTCGGAAGAGGGCACGCGCCTCCAAGGATGTAGCGTGGCGCGTCCTGCGTGCGGTAGAGGACCGACGAGATAGCTAAAAACGCAAACCCTGTTAGTGCGCCAGTTTCCATGCGGCCTGAGATGGGACGTACACCCCGCGAAGTTCCCGAACCCGATGTGCAGCGGAATCGCGGCGCCGCGCTTGTACTGACCAGCAACATTATTGGCAAGCCTGGCAGTTGCCTTATCAGCTTTTGAGATGTTCCACGAACACGGGCGCGCAACGCACCAGGTGATAACCCCGGGGAACGCGGCGTACGACCCGGCAACGCAGAAAAACGTCCCAAAGTACTTGACGGCGAAGCCCGCGTTCGAAATCTGGATGCCGAAGCCGAGGATGCACATCGCGTGGCCGGCGAGGATAAACGGGAAGCGGTACTCTGTACGGTCGGACAGCAGCGCGAAGCCCACGGTGACGAACGCTGCAAGGGGTAAGTCATGTGCTATGCTGATGGAAGCAGGAGTGCACGTACTAGCGAAGATGTAGGGCGGTACGGTGAGCAGCTGACTCGATGCTGGGCTAAAACCAAAGCTAGATGTAGATGTTAGGAAGGAATAGCGGCGTGCACGAGAGGGGCGCGTACCCATTGATAATCGACCTATAGCACATGGTCAGAAACAACCGGATGGGAGAGCGAAGGACACATACGGCAAAAAGAAAGATATCCCGTAGACTGAGAACCAAAATCAGCCTGGAAATCGGTGAGCAGGACCCTCGAGAACTTACGTGGCCCAATGATTGACATGTAGATCAGGACGTGTGTCCATAGCTGGGTCGCAATTTGTGAGTCTCGCTTCAACAAGCGGAGTCAAAACATGTGCGAACCTGCCAATCGGAAAAAGCTTCCCACAGGTGCCTGAATGACCAGGACTCCTCCTCGCCAACCAACGAGTTGTCGTATTCTGCACAGAAACGATGAGTGTGTGCTCTAGACACAGCATACTGGGATCTCACTCTTCCTCCAAATAACGTATGCCCGCTCCTCAGGAGTTAAGAACTTCGCGTTCGTCGGAAAGTCGATCAGGACTGAATCGACGCCCGAATTCAGAAATAAATTGACCAGAAGAGGTATTCATGTGCGTACTGAACAGGGAGGCAAAGCCCACAAGAACGGTGAAGCATCCCTCTAATATCTGCATTGAACGAACAGCCTAGTCAGTGAAATGGAATCTGGCTGTCAAGGGGCGCACTTACAAAGATCCATGACCACCCGAGCTTGCCGCCAACGCCAGACATGAATGATATCCCATACGCCAGTATACCAGAGAACGCTCCTGCAAGTTGAGGCATCATCAGAGCTGGCCCAATAAAAAATGACAAGATAGCCTACCGGCGATGGTGGCGCCACCCCAAAACAATCCTATGCGAAATTGGAGCTTGTGTCTAGGATACCAAATCGAGAGGCTAGAGAATGCATTGGCATCTTATGCACTATGCCCAATGGGTTGGACTTACTACCAGGCGACACCAGGAAAGAACCCAGCTTCAGCTGTTCCCAGAGCGACTCGTACGCCTACGAGCTGCGGATACCTGTTAGGAAGACTCAGGAATAAGTACTCTAGCGAGCATGATGGCAGCCTACGTTTTAACCAAGCCCATTAGTGCCCTAAACAGATGTAGCAGGGCATCAGCGATGTTTTGAGGGCAAATGCAGGTGTTGTAAGTTTACATGATTGTACCCCAGAGTATCTACCGCCGACAAGTCAGGGAGAGCGTCGACCATTTATTGCGAATAGGTGCTTACCAACATTAGAGGTAGCCAGCTGAACGTAGATGTTCAGTAATCGCACCGTTTCAGTCCTGCAATTCAGGGCTTACCGTGAAGGTCGGAATTTCTTCGTCACTAGGCTACGAAGGTCAGTCAGCGCGGGACCGAAGCTATAAAAAACCGAGTCCTTACCTAGCAGGAAAATCGACGACACAAAAGGGCTGTAGACGGATAAGCTGTCGTGTTTGCAGCTATTTCGAAACACTTACCACGAAGAATAATGCCTGAGCAACCAGCGTAAGCATTAGCAAGGGCCAAACACAATTCTGGTATACTCACCAAAGCAATGTTGTACTGGTTGCCGACCAGATGGAGTTGCGTTGTAAGCCCTTGTAGCTTGGCATTTCCTGAACCCAAGTCAGAATAGTCCCGGCTTCAGCAGGCAAGATATGCGTACCGATATTCCCTGAGGACAATCAGGCCGCGCGAAGCGCGCTGGCAGACGCGAGACACGCACCTCTGTCTAAGAACGAGCACACATACATCAAAGTTAACATCGGCATGATGCGCAAGTCTATCTTGCGGTATAGCTTGCTCTCCTCTGCCGCGGAGAGGCTAAGCGGCGGCGGAAGCTTGCTCTCGATCTCATTTAAATCAGGAAGGGTCGTCTCTGTCAGAGCTCCTCGTGCTTCGTGCGCGTCATAGCTGCGCTTGCTAGCATCGCTTGATTTCCGAGCGGCATTGTCCGCTTGTCCTTGAATACCTTGAGTCGTCATTGTCCGATGAGACCGTCTCTGTCCCCGGACGCAGTGAGCACGAAGATATGAGAGGATAGAAAGACGCAGCTCACCTATAACAGAAAAAATCCGCTGTTTGATACATTGCGCGAGTTTTTTTCTCACAGATATACGACAGCAGAAGCCTGACTGACGTGCTCAAGGTGGAGGAGGGCCATCAAACATCCACATGGCCCTACAGCGCGCTAGCGCTAGTATTGAGCAAGCGTCAGGATCAGGAATGCACCTCAAGCAAAGATGTACTATACTTGAAGACAACGCAGGGAGATACTCCACGACGTATCCGCGCGCTGTTGCCAGCGATGATAGTACTGAGAGTAAGTGTCACTTATAGAGGACTACATTCTCACGCTCCATTTCGGGGCCCTGTGGAAACATTCTGCCAAGCGTGAGTAGCCGCTTGGTTTATCGGATACACAACATTTTACAATCCAGATACCGTCCAATGTCTGTCCAATGGCGAAACGTGGCTGCAAGCCGTGAACGCAGCAGAGCAGCTGACCATGCGATACGTATCGACTTAGATTTCTCCTTAGAAGCTTGGCGCTTTTGACCGCCATAGCTTAAAGTACGTGCTGCATCCAGAATCTGAGCAGGAGTGGCGAAGAAAGTGGTGTGTGCTCCAATCAAACATGGGGGTCATCGGAAGAGAAGGGCGCATCGGGCGCATCATTGTGCGGCGTCCATATAAGGAAGTAAACCATCTAGGCGTGCCTTCGCGTTGCAAGTCCCCAGAGCTCAGACGACACATATGGTCGCAACGAGTGTGCATATGACAATCAAATAATGCAGCTATAACGATGATACAAAATATACTAAGGCAGGGTGTGGACGGACAGAGGCTGTAGGCATCCTTGCGTGTGAAAGCTGGCCGCTAGATTTCACGCGCAGTCGGGTCAGGAAGCTCATGTTCAGAGTCTACAGAGCTCTGAATACAGGTACAGGAACATGAAAGTCCTTCAGAAAGCCCACCAGGAAGGAGCGGGCATGCAATTACTGACAAAGCGTTGGCGCTTACATTCGCCGCCGGCTCTTGGATTGTACTCTAGGGTTAGGTTTCCCACTTGCTCCGGAGACCTCATTTGCACATTGGCCTCAAGGACACCCGTGCCCTGAAGAGCTGCTCGCAAGGCCCAGCAGCCCACAATAAGACTGCGACATACCCAACTCAATTCAGTATGGGGTATTTTCCAGCCAGTCAGTGATGTACTCAAAGAAAGAAGCCGGACTCGGAGACAGTCGAAGTTTGTGCATCATGACTTACCTTAGGCTACCTGGAACGACCAGTTTTGCACATTGAAGCAAAATCGAAGAAATGGAGATATAGAAAGTCCTCACAAATGTTCTTATATCTTGAAGCAAGCGGCGCAAAATAAAGGCGTTGTTAAGCAGACCATCTCGTGCGTATTCGTGTTAGCAGTCTAATCGAATCCACCCGTGGACAGGGAAGGAGGCAGAGAGTTCGCGTTCGCGCCACAAGACACACTGATATCTGTCGTCACTTCCAGCTCGATAGTCGATCCAGTTTGAAATGCGTCCCAGTCAATGAAGCAATTCGACTTCCACGGCTGGCCATCGATGGTCACAGACTGGCATATCCATATCATTAGCATCCTTCTGCGAGCAGTTTTGGGGTTAAGTTCACCTTCACGAAGACATTTCCTCCGGTGCCGTTCGCCGGATTGCCGCTGAAGTTCTTGACCCGGATCGTGGTCGCGTTACCGAAGATGGGGTTCGTGAAGGAGACCTCGGGGAAGTACGGCGACGAGAGTAGGAATTGTCGAGTAGCCGGTACTGGGTACATTCCCAGGAGGTAGAAGGCGACGTAACTCCCCATTGCACCAGAGTCTGTGAAAGTAGCGTCAGCGTCAGCGTGATGGGTTCTACCCGTCAAACTTACCGTCATTTCCGGGAAGCCCATTGACCGAAGTGTTGAAGAATTGTGCAATCGTTTGGCGAGATGTTTGTGTGCTCAAGCCCGGCTGGTTTGCGTAGTGGTACATGAAGGGAATTTGCTGCGACGGCTCGTCTGTCTCATCAAAGTAGTGCTGAGGAAAGGAGTTAGACTTGAGGTAGGCTAGTGCTGGAACAAACTCACCTCTTCGAAAATGAAATTCAGCCTGTCAACGAACTTCTCCGTGCCACCTTGCAATTCTATGAGCTTCGCTGTGTCTTGTGGGACAAACTAAAGGATTGTGTTCATATCATAATTACCATCGCGTAAAGATCAGAAGCGAACCTGTGAATACTGCAGAGAATTTGAACTCAAACTGAACATCCGAATAGAAACCAGCCCAACATACCACAATTGGAGAACTCTCGTAGAAACCGTCTGTGTTCACTGCGTCTAGGAAACATGTGGACTGCAAGGGATCGTTAACGCTGCAGTGCCTTGGATCGGTGAAGTTGAAGGTGCCATTAAGGAAGCGAGGCTAGGCAGAGATACAGTGAGGACAATCGCACGACCCAAATCCCCCCGCCTTACCTGCATCATACCCTTGATGTCTTCACGGCCAGGGACGGTGACGTTCGGGTTCCAGTTGTTGACGAAGTTCTGCGCCCTTTGGGCATACTGTCAAACGTGTAAGTCGTCGAAGAGACGAGATTCGCTGGTGGATACCTTCGCTCCATCGGCAGTATTCCCCATAATCTTAGCGACCTGCGAGATAGCGAAGTCGCCGAAAGCGTACTACCAACAAAAGTCAGAATATCTATGCCGCAGGTGACACTCACAGACATACCTCCAGTGCACGAGAGACTTGCTTAGTGTTGGTACCAGACGGTTCCCATACGTCGCTTGGAATGTATCCTGAGCCACAGGGTCAAGATCTACTCGAGCTGCTTTACGAGCCAGCACTAACCAAGCGTCTTCCAGATGTTAACCTGTCGGCCTTGCAGGTCCCAGTTCGGGGGTTGCACCTCAGCATCAGCGATCAGAGCTTCGTACAGGGCGGTAGCGGAGACGTTGAGCGTATCGAGATGCTCGTGGTACCTGGTATATGGTCGGCGTCATGCGGAGGGAGGATGGATTACTGGCACACATACTTGACGAAGAACTCAGCAACAATTGGGTCCCCATCTTCGTAAAAAATTAGGAGGTCAGAATCGAAGGACATACTGCAAGAGCATGTATATGTACTTACTGCTGCCACCCTGAATAAATTGCTTAGCAGTTGCGCCTCGGCACTCCGGGAGCCAGCCTAACACCAAGGTAACGTCGAAGTCAGCGAATGCAACTAACTCGGACATTAAAGTAGGCTCCACCTTCATGTTGTTGAATATTCAACAATCCTCGGACGATCCTTGAGAAGTTAACTGGGTCGTGCAAGGCCATGAGCGAATAAAGGGTACGGAACGTATCCCACTGAACAAACAAAACGTTGGTCTCAACTCGCATGGAAGGATTGGAGTGCTTACATTGCAGTAAAACGAGTCGTAGTACGGCTCGGTCGAGTTCCAACGTGGGTTCTCTCCAGTATCTATCGGAATGTCAGTCAGTATGTTTAAGCTTCAGCTTTGCCGGGAGTGCGCGCTTACAGTCGGCTGGGGAGATATGCGTCCTGTACAATGAGCTGTAGAACAATTGCGTTGTATTTGCGTCCACGCCCGTAGTGTCGACTTGAATGCGCCCGAGAAGCTCATCCCATTGATCAAAGGCTGCCTGGCGGGCACCATCAAAGTTGAAATCAGGTATCTCAGACTCTGCGTTCGCGCAGGCTTGGTCTGCAGAAATGAATGACACGCCCACTCGTGCAAAGATGGATGTGATGCTATTGTCTGTCTTGGGCGCGAAGGTGAAGAGTGCTCCGAGCTCGGATACGAAGCCTGTGGGTTTCGAGATTAGCCAAACGATCTGCAGCGCAAGCACAGACACTGTTACCGAAGTAAAGTTGATTGAGGTTGGTGGTCTGCTGGATGCCAGAGTTTCCTAGCCAAGCACCAGATTGCGTTGGCGGACCCTGTCGTAAGATCTCAATATCTATTTCAAATATCACTCGAGGGGTCTCGTACTAGCTCAAACCCGTCGCCCATGAAGTCAACACAGGTAAACGCGCGGTATCTTCCTGGACCGAATGAGGCAGCGAAGGATGCCGCCCCTAAGTAAAAGCGAGATGTGAGAAGCATAGAGAGCACGAGAGATAGGGCCACATGCCTGTAACCCGAGCAGTTGTTGCATTCAACAACATTTCAGGATTGGTACTGCTCTGCTCGCCGTCGTTTGTGATATCAACCATAATCCTGGGGTTGACGGTTCCGGCAGGAAACGTATATCTGCATGGACTGTTAGCCGGATGAGCCAACAGAGCAGCGGTGGCAGCGCACCTGTGTAATGCTGTGCGCCTTGTCGTTGTAAGCTCGACACGGATACCCGTAGACTGCCGTGCAACATTGATCTGAACAAGCAATGGCCGGCGTGCGGACATGAAATCGTACCAAATTTGTAGAAAAGTATCCGGGTTCGGCGAAGTCATCCGGGGACCCTGAAGTCAATGTCAACACGCATTGACCGCTTGAAGGTCAAAGTAACCTACCATTATCTAGAACATTCCGCAAGACTTTTCGGCCCTCCAAAGAGGTGGGGCACTGTTCAAACTTATCGTTTGGCCCACAAGAAGCAAACGGAAAGACTTTGAACAGAGAAAGAGAAACGCCCTACAAATCAATATCTCAGTATTGCAGCCGCTGCACAGCCAGTTCGACGTACACCTCCAGTTCCTGCGGCGGGAAGATGAGGTCAACAAGAATCGTAGTCAAATCAGCGTACGAACCATCGTCATGCAGCTGCGAGAACCCTGTAACGTTGAAAGTTGGATTGGCGTCGTATCCCGCTTGCTGGGGCCAAATTTCAGCTATAAGCTTCAAAAAATGGCGCGATGTGCTCACGTTCCCCGGAGAGTCCGTATCCATCCCAGCTTTTGTCATTCCGTGTGGTAAAGTTGCCCCTGTGAATCGGTTACATGTTAGAGGGTCACAATCCAGACGTCACTTGGATCGCTCACCAGGGAAGACATGGCCACCATTGGTCGTTCCAATGAATAAATTCACAAGGCTTGCAGGGCTCGCAATAGAAGCAGAAGTCTGTGTAGGAGCGGAAGGGAAGCTGCTGAGGCTGGTCGAAGGCAACACGGAGTGCGTAGCTGAGCCACTGGAATCCGTCGCCGTAGATGCGGCGAGCGATGTCTTCACAACTCCTGCCGAGCTCAATAAGCTGAAGGAGAGCAAAAAACACCTCACGAGCCCAGGTGACCTCTGTCGAGCCATTATGCAGGACTGCTTCGGCGCGAGCTGGGGCCCTTCATGGTGTGTTGAACGCAGTTTTTATCGTGCGCGGGACGGAGCGACGGGCAGATGAGACCTCTGTTCCTTGCCCCGGCTGTCAAGGCGTACTGGAGGAAGCATACTTGAACATGCGGGCCGCCTCAGCTGACCAGACCTACGAGGTCATGATGGGACAAGTGCTGTACAGATGCGGCGGTCGATGACGAGCCTAGAAGGCACGTGTAGCATCCGGTGATACCGACTGAGAAGCCTTTTGTCAAGAGCTTGCAGGGACGCGTTGTGCACAGCCGAAAAGGATAAGAAAGGTTATACCGGAAAAGAGCGAACGAGGGGGAGCAGTTAAGAACGCGGTCGCCAAGCTTAGACTTACTGAACTTACAGCAGATCTCCCATAGTCTTACCTCCGGTGGATGCTGCATGCTCTCTTCGTTTTCCACGGCATGCGTCATGAGGGTTGCTGTAGGATGTCTGATGACCTCGTTTCATCAGAAACGGTGAAATGCCCAGGCTTCTGAGCTTCCTAACGACGCCTGGGAGCTTGCTACCCACTACGCGAGAGATCCCACAATGTCGTCCGGTGAATATTTATCGAACGACTTTGAGTGAAAATCAATGTCACATAACGTTTACGTGACCGACAGTTGCCTATGAAGGTCCACGCAGCCACAGATTAGAGTTGCCGATACGAGTTTCAAGACGGGCTAGAGACCTCAAATCGCTCTCACCCAACTAGCTCACTTTCACCTAAGCCTCAGGTAGCCAAAACTCGCAACTCGGCACCCATCCTCGTGCCTACAGACGGTGACTTGGTCTGAGAGCGTCGTGTGAGCTATTCGTTGACCGCCGTTAGATAAATGTGATCGTAGGAATGCGGGAGAGATATTGATTGGCTCCCAGATAATTGGTTACCTGATTATCTTTATCAATGGATTAGCGCGAGCTTTATCGCGGCAGTTAGCGCGCGCTTTTACCCCACACGCACTTCAACCTCTCCTTCGACACTTGCCTGATAACTAGATTCAGCTGCTGACCTGCGTGTATATTTGGGATTTATCCGTACTCGGTACGCTTCGGGTGTCCGCTGGGAGAAAAACTGTCTGACGCGACGAAGTTGAGGCTGTTACGCTATTCTTCGAGCACAAGTATTGGTTGGCACTTCAGAGACTTTCGAAGTAACTGAGCTGTCCTCAAACTGTCTTTGAGACACCGGTGTATTAGAAAGACCTTCCGGACAAAATGTCGCATCAGCCACCGTTCCAGGCCAGAGCGCAAGCTTACGCCATGCTGCGTGGCATGGCATTCAACGCGCAAGCGCACGAACTTCCTCCTCCTCCTCCTCCTGGATTTTATCCACCAGGCAGAGGTGATATGCCTTTTTTTGTCTACTATACTCTATATTGTGCTAACATCCAGCTTACTGTATCGTAGCGTTTGGCTTTAGCGAGCCGCACCACGCTCCGAACCTGGCCGTGCCCATAGTTTCCGGTGAACTCACGGATGAGGATCCCACTGTTGGTGCGCGAGCTCCGGGAGCTTCTGAGACTGGGACCCTAAGTGGCGCTCAGCCAGAGGACGAAGATGTGCCTACTGGAGATCCTGGTAGCATCTTGGAAGCGAAGCATCTGGACGAGGTGGTAGACGCGCTCACGGGGTCGGTAACCATCAGGCCTACCCCAGTCGTTGCAGGCCGGACGTCTGACACACGCGGAAAATACGACGTCTATGCATTTACCATTGTACGCCGCTTCACGCCCGCCGGAAACCCCAGAAAGTTGGGAAAGACGACCTCTTACAATGTTATAAGAGTACTCGATATTCGGAGTTCCGAGCTGCGCGATGTTGGTGCCCAGATATTGGGCAGGGTCCAAGGGGTCTCTTGGACTGCGACGCCGTTACGTGTAGGTTCCACTTGATATAGTGTTTTACGGTACTAACTGTTGTACTCAGGTCAATCCTCAAGTTCTGCTTGGTTGGCTCCCAGAACTTGAGGAACATCTTACGACGCTCTCGGCAGATGACGATTCTCCAACACGAACCCGGCATCAGCACCTTTCCTTCCTCATTAACTGGCTCAAAACCGAGTATAGCGCCACCTTGGACAGTCTCAGCTCACTGATTACACATGCCGAAATCACGTTCGACTTGTTGTGGGCCCTCTATATTCCGCGCAAGACCATTCTGCACATCTCCTGCCCCACGACCGGCGAGCCGCGTGCAGTCCGGCTGGTGCACGCAGAGAAGTGCCAGAGACCGGAGGTGGTTGGCTCTGGCTCTGTCGCATTCGACCTCTCGGGCCTCTCCGTTGGCCTCGACGGTGGCGGCGAAGGGGACAACTCCAAGTTTCTGTTCCGACTCGCTATGGAGTATGTCGAAGTAGACGTCAGCTCAAAGGGTTCGCAGTACGGTTACGCGGGCCTTGGGACTGTCATCGACATTCCTGGCTTCTCTGGCGCGAAGAAAATCTCGTCTCTGGGCGTATATCCGGTGCAGTACTACGAGGGCCCTGGTGGTCCCGAGGGGCTGAGGGAGAGGCTAGTGCAGAGGGCTAAAAAGTGGTTGAGCTTGGCGGGTGGCGTGCATCACCTTGCATACAAGGGTATTGCCTTCATTTGGCGTCCTACAGGTGGCGGAAAATGGGTGTCCATGAAACAAAACGTAAGAGATTTCGCTTTCTCGTCGGAGCACTGGCTAACTTGGTGCGCACCAGGTGGACTCGAGAATTATGATTGATCGACGTGAGCAGAATGCCTAAAATCTTGCTGACGCATGCTTATCTCGTTATGTAGAAACCTTCGCGGAGAATATGCCTAACTACGAGAAAATGACGCCCGTGATGAGAACTCTCGCGGGTCGAGACATCGACAGGCATGCTTTGCGTGCAGACATCGCTTCCAGCCAGGACCAGCTGGGGAACGCTGAGGACTTGACGGACGAAGAGCTCATATTAGCCCCACCAAACGTGCATGGATTTAGTCTGTCAGACAAAGATTGGCGTTCGTCTCGCTGCTCTTCCCTCGTTTTTTGTTGCTTAAATGTCTTTCTCAGTTGAGTTTTCGGTGGACCTGGTACAGTCGTTCACGTGGAACACAGAACCCTACGAGAACTTGGTTATCCCACCCGACCACAAGGCGGTGTTAACCACCATCGTGGAGGCCCACAGCTCGGTCACTGCCGCCAAGGTTGATGACTTCGTCAAAGGGAAAGGTCTGGGGCTCGTGGTAAACCTGTATGGGAATCCTGGAACAGGTGAGGATCAGGCTCTAAGTCAGGTGGCCCTGCACTGACGGCCGCCCATAGGCAAGAGCTTGACCGCGGAAGCTATGAGTGAACGTACGTGGCCCTTACCGTGAGGGCTAAATGCGATTAATCTATTGACCATTAGACCTCAAGAGTACGCTTGAATTTGCAGATCGCGCCGGATGAAGCTGACAATCTCCTGTAGAGCCATTGTATGTCGTCGGAGCGGCCGACCTCGGAACTGCAGCAGTGCAGGTCGACCAAGCGCTCTCGAGGATTCTCAAGATCTCTGCTACGTGGGGCGCTGTCGTCCTCATCGACGAGGCAGATGTTTTCTTGGAGGAGCGTGCCCTACATCACATCGAGCGGAACGCCATGGTCGCGGTGTTCCTGCGGCATCTCGAGTACGTCCCTCGGCATTCATATTTTCATCAGAGCATAACGTTTACTGCCGTCAGATACTTCCGCGGCGTTCTCTTTATGACGACGAACCGTGTGCGCGTCTTTGATGAGGCCTTCCAATCGCGCATCCACATCTCGTTGCGGTACCATGACCTCACCGCCGAGTCGCGGCGCACAATTTGGGTCGCCTTCCTCCGCAAGGTACATGGCCCAGATGTGCCTGACGGTGGCCTCACGCGCGAAGAGCTTCGCGAGCTCGGCGAGAAGAAGATCAACGGCCGCCAGATCAAGAACGTAGTGAAGACTGCTACCGCCCTTGCCACTGGCCGCCAGGAGACCCTGGGATATCGTCACCTGGTGCAAGTACTCGATATGATGGACCAATTCGACGCGAGGTGCGTGATATGCTTCCGATGTAGTGATGTGCCTGCTTGACCATGACCACCCTAGCCATTCCATGTACAACTAGGATGGGCTGGTGGAGGAGGGGCTGCTGTACCATTAGAGGATCTTGGAAGTGCTCTAAATATCTTGTGTAACGTATCACCCTGCTCGATACTCCATAGAGTGTTATAGCTCACGCTCGCGTACCGCTACAAGCCGTATCTTCCCGCCAGTACTGACAGTTTCCCACGAGAAGCGTTTTGCTCCGCACGAAGCGCTGGGATATAGAGGTTATCCGTTACAACCAGTCTGATTTGACATTGCAGGTGGGACGTGTACTGGTCAGATGCCCCTGTACATCTCACGGTGTGCTTCATAGACTACTCAGGGCGTATCTTCGATGCAGGTGCGTTACTTCTGCCTCTTCCTCCCTCTGGCACTCATTCATCTGTTACTCCAGGCTTCGCTTCATTGCGACTGAGATGCTGATACAAGCCACGAGCGACCATACGCCTGCGCAATTGAACATCATGTTGGAACCTGACATCGCGGAAGAGAAGATAGCGACAGATATGATCGAGCATGTGGAGAGTGTGGACGGCACCAGTGAAACGGAGCCACCGACGCTTTCCCGGGCTGAGCGTCGCAAGCTGTACTGGAAGATAGACATGCGGCTCATGCCCATCCTAACCTTGATAGAGCTGCTCTGCACTCTGGACAAAGGTAGTCCCCATGTGCTATTTTATGAGCGCCCCTGAAGCCGTCCTTTTGTAGCCAACATTGGTAAGTCTTCGCCGTCACATCCTTCTGTATCATCCATCGTAACTGATATTTTGGCCCTCAAGGTAACGCGAAGATTCAAGGACTTGTAACACAGCTGCACCTCACAGGAAACAAATACAATGCCGCTTTGGCGTTGTATTTTCTCGTGAGTCGCACTGTTGTGAAGAGAGTGCATGTGTCTAAAGCAACGTGGCAGCCATATATTTTGTTCGAGTGTCCTGCAGGGTCGGTTCATATTATACATGCGTTTTTCTGCACGCTGAACTTGCTTGCAGCTTGCTCACGAAGAGGTTACGACCGTCAAGATGGCTTCCTGCCCTTACGGTCAGTCCCTTGACTCCGTTCTACGAATTTCGCTCATCGTTTTCTGCCTTTAGATTATTTGGGGAATCATCACGTAAATAAGGCCCCCAGCTAGCCTGTCTTGCTCGCTCGCTGACACTCTGAGCCGCTCTCAAGGACACTCATGGGCCTGGTCACAAACTATCGTCAGCTCGTTGGTGTCCGGATCGTACTTGGCGCCGTCGAGGCAGGCATTTTCCCCGGCGCATGCTGGTAGTCAGTCCCTTTCCTCTGTTCCCCCACCCCCGGCGGCACATCTGACCGCGACGTCCCAGCCTGTCGATGTGGTACCCCCGGCACGAGCTCCAGTACCGAGTCGCGCTCTTCTGGGGCGGCGCGACGATCGCGGGCGCCATCTCGGGCGCGCTCGCCTTCGGGATTTCGTTCATGTCCGGTGTCGGGGGCAAGGAGGGCTGGTCGTGGATCTTCATCCTTGAGGGCCTTATTACAGCCATCGTTGGCGTCATCTCACTATTTGGTATGGTTCTCCTTGTCGCTGCCGTGCATCTCACGAGCGCTGACGGGTGTGGATCGTACAGTCCTTGTCGACTTTCCCAGCACCGCGTCCTTCCTGACGCCTCGAGAGCGGGCGTATGTCCTGCATCAGAAGAGTGCGTGCTGCACGAAACTTGCCTCGAGATTATCTGACAATCAACAGAGTTTGATAACTCCTTGCATGGTGAGGAGGAGATGTTCCGTTGGCGATACGTTTTGGCTGCTTTCCTCGACTGGAAGGTGTGTGCGATCATCGAGAGAGGACATGTCTACTGATGACGCTGAGCGCAGACATGGACGCATGCGATCATGTTCATCTCGCTAGTCGGCCCCCGTACGTATCGCATCTGCCTCTGCCGCACTCAGCACGACTAAACATCCCCGAAGTGTACGGCATCTCCTTCTTCCTCCCGTACGCCCTTCCCCCTTCCCCTCCCGAGCCACGCTCACCCCTTCCGCGACAGGTCCATCATCAACGGCTTCGGCTTCAGTCCCGCGGCCAGCCAGCTGCTCACGGTGCCGCCGTACATCTTCGGCGCGCTCCTCGGGCTCGCCGGCGCGGTGCTCTCGGACGCGCACAAGCTCCGCTGGCCGTTCGTCCTCGCGGGGCACGCGATGTGCGCCCTCGGCTTCGGCATCCAGATCTCGAACGCGCACTTCGCGGTCAAGTACTTCGGCACGTTCTTCTGCGTCGCCGGGAGCTACGGCATGTTCCCCGGCGTCGCGAGCTGGTGCGTCGTGCTGCTTCTCCCAGGCGCCCTCTTGCAAGGACGGAGGACTCATTTTTGGAGTGGTGACGCACAGGACCTCGAATAACACCGCAGGGCAGTACAAGCGTGGCACTGCTATTGCGATTAACGTTGCGTTTGGGAACCTTGCTGGGTGTACGTGCCGCTTCGCTGCCTCAGTTCGCATACAGTGCTGACGATTTAACCTGATCCTAGCTATCGCTTCCATTCTCTACCGTTCTCAAGACGCGCCGAGGTATATTCTGGGCGGTACGCTTCTCTTTTGATGCGCGGAATGAATTGCTTCGGCTCATGAGTTGCTCTTCTGCAGATGCAATTGAGCTGATGTTCGTCGGCATGGGCGTAATCTCACTTGCAGTGACCGTCTTCGTCTATTCCAGGATCAACGCGAAGCGTGAGAAGGAAATGGCTTTACTCAAGGAAAAAGGCGTGGCCTACAATGGTGCCGAATTCAGGGAGATGGGGGATCACGCGCCAGACTTCAGATATACACTTTGAGCTCCAGTACCGACTATCGTATACACGCAGCAACAACTACTTCGACAGAACCGGTGTAGTGCGAGTAATGTCTCAGAGACTGCCGCTAAGCAGACCCTTGAGCGACACGCCGTTCCAACCCTCCTTCCGCTCCGCTTTGGGGTTGTGCACCTTCGCCCAGGACTCGAAGCTGTGCATCCCGGGATATATCTCCCTGCATTTCGCGATGAGATCCTCGTACTTGACACCGTACTCGATGCGGTCCGCATGGGCGTTCTCGACCGCTTCCACGCTAGCGTCTAGACGTTAGGGGCCAATTGGGCGTCTGATATGGAAAAACACACTCACACGCCGCGCGTATGTTTGTTTGTTGCCTTCAGCGTCGACGCGAGCATGTTTGGTATCGTAGGTATCGCGCGCCCGGCGCCACGGGTGTAAGAGGCTGCGATCTCTTGCGTCGAGAGAGCGTCGCCGACGACGACGATGCACTGTCCTGCGTATGCGTCGGGCGAGCGCATGACGGCAAACGCTACGTTCCCGATATCGTCAGCGGCCTGAGGACGAGTGGTGTGAGGGAGGACGGGAGCCACGAGACGAGTAGCGAGCGACGCACGATGAGCTGCAACCTCGTGTCTTTCTTCAGCCCGACTTGGAGCACCGAGAACGTGACGCGGCCAATAAGACCGTCGAAATTCTCCATGAAGAACACCGGACGTAGGATTCTGAGTCTTGGCAGTGAGACGCATGTGATATTGCAGGAAAGCACCTGACCTACGTCCAGCTCAAGCCCTGTTTTGACTTGATGTGCTTCTCGATGTTGACTTTCGCGAGGTAGCTTAGCGTTGCATGCTCGTCTCGGCTCTCGTGGGCGCGCTCAGCGGAAGAGTAGATGAGGTGGTGAACGTTGTATTCGCGTGCCAAGTCTGCGATCATCTAGCCGAGTGAAGTGTCAACAGGTCAGCGCACGCAAAGTCGCGTACTGGACGCACCTTGCCCTGGGCCTCCTCTCCAGACGCGTCTGCACCTAGTCCGGGGAACGCCAGCACCATGAATACTCCCCAGATCCCGCCCTCTGGCTTCACTTTCTCATCCTCGAAGACTTTCCGTACGCTGTTCGCGTCGTTCACGTCCGCTGACACGACGGTGGTGCTATCCCCCAGGGCTGTGAGCTCCCGTGCGGCAGGAGAAGAGGCATTGCGTGTGAGGGCAATAAGGTGGAAGCTGTGGTCGGACTCGACGCTGCCGTTCGCGGTAATAGCAGCACGAGTAAACGCGCTGCCTTGCTTGCCAGTCGCACCGACGACTAGGATCTTGCGAGGGGTCATGGGGAGATTGTGAGGGCTGTGTCTTGTTGCAAGCTATCTATTTGAGTCGCGGTAACTCCCAACTTGAAATGACAGTATGGATCCACAAGGCCTAACGCTCTTTTCAACCAGCGAGCTCGACGGTCGTTTAATTTCGTTTCATGAAAAAAGTGTGCGTTCGTGATACGGAGCCGCCAGACCGCGACGCGACAATACCCACGGCCCGGCGCCAAAATAGTACGACGGAAGCACTCATATCATCACCGACATTCATAGTTTCATACCTCGGTGCTCTAGTGCTCGGCCTCAGCGCTTGGGCAGTCCTGCGAGTCACGACCATCATCTCCGTGTCCTGTCCCTTCGACATGTGCAAGAACTCGACCTCAGAGTCAACTTCCATCGTAGCTATCCAAACTGGAAGATGCGAAGCATCGACGCCTCCGGTTCCCGTGGAGCTACAGATGACCATCATCGACAATCTGCACGATGATAAGGACGCTCTGGCCCGCTGCGCTCTCGTCTGTCGCTCCTGGCAAGCACCCAGCCAACGCAACCTATTCTTCGGCCTCCATCTGTACGCAGACCATCGCTGCAATGACTATTGCCTCGATTGCAATGGCGAGCCTCCCTCTGGACGGGCCCTTGTGGATGTGAAGGAATTCCTGGTCGGTACTCCGCGCATTGGTTCATACATCCAGAAGGTTCTCTTCGTTGGGTCAGTATCTCGCGATGGCGATTACTTTCTCAGGGCGAGTTTGGTATTGGATATACTCAATGCTACTCCTCGCCTCCGCGTCCTGGAGTTCCACCACATTGTTATTCGCGGCGATTTACCTGCGGCTGAACTCGCAGATAACCTCTTCACATTCGTATCAGCTATTCCTTGTCTCAAGCGGCTCGTTTTCAACATGACGGACGTGTTCGAGTCCATGACACCTTTCGTGGCAAACTCATCATCTCTTCCCATATCCCCGGGCTTCTCACAGAGTGCCGTCAGTGCAGAACCCGATGGTTCCATGCACCCATTCTCCTTACCTCTTGAGTGCCTGGAGATTATCAGCATGCATACCGGTGATTTTGAAATTGAGCCAGTGCTCAGTGCTACGATCGCGCGACCCGGCAGCCTCAGCTCCTTGCGACACCTGGCTATCGATCTTGCCTGCGAACATCCTCGTCGGTTACGAAACCTCAGTCGCTTCATTGGAGCATTAGGATCTTGTCTGAACGAACTTTGTTTGGATTTCTCGAATGCATTCGGTGCCGATCAAAATAGCTACGCTGAAGGTGTGCACTTAAGCGGTACATCTCAAGTACATTAGTCTGACTAGATCTCAAGCATTCAAGAGCATCTTGAATCTTCCTGCCTGCAAAAGCTTGGCAAAATTGACTCTTCGCCTGTCCTTCTCTCGCAACTACCCCTCGCTTCTGTTTACGTTGTCAAATTGCCTTATTGCGAACGTCATTCTCCAGCTGCTTCCACCCTCAATTGCCTTCCGAGGCCTTGTCCTCGTATTCGATGTCGCATATTTACAACAAACCACCATGGCGCATATCTTGAGTGCCATACGTTCTGTGGGGGACACCGTTTTGTCAGCGGATCGTGTACAGACAGTCACCCTGACGACCTCGCACTGGAAAGCGCTTCCGACCCAAGATACACTGCGAGCTATCGCTGCTCACTTCTATTCTCTATCGGAGCGTAGGACCTGGCGTGTTGAGCTCGAAGGGAAATTCAGCTCCTTGTGCGTTCATTTCTGCTCTGCACGCCATGCTACTGATATTCAGCGAACTTCATAGGCGCGACGTAGACAGGGCGCTCCGCTCCGCAGAACCCTAATAGCTGGGTTGCCCGTAGCTAGTCATGGTGCATCCAATAATTGTAACTATACTTATGATTCATTCCGGCTCTCCGTCTCCCCTGTTGTACTTACGGGCGCCAGTTCCAAGCTCCGAACAGTGTTTCCACTAAATTGGGCAATTACTAGATAAGATTAGGTGCGATAAATCTCACCTTTCTATGTAATTCTTTCTCTCGTTTTCTGGCCCTGCGGCTCAATTGTTCGACGAATGTCAGAATTGACACCAGCTAGCCGCAAATTATACACTGGAACGTGCATATGTAGTCCTTCTGCCCTATGAAACGTGCGCTTGTGGTCCAGCTAGTGGTAGACTAGTATACTTAGATATATAGCCAAAGCAGCGCAGCAGCAACGTAGTCCGCAAGTCCAATCGAAACCATGGGGTCATGCATGATTCATCAGTTGCGGTCCTAGGTAGGTAGGCTGGATCGTAGCGCAGCCTTACTACGTCATGACTCATCTGAGCGACACACTGCTCAACAGTGAGCAAGGTCGCGCGTTTGTCAGAGGCTGCCGCTAAGGAGACTCTTCATCGACACCCCGTTCCATCCCGACGTCTGCTCCGCTTTCGAGCTATGAACCTTCGCCCACGACTCAAAGGTATGCATCTCGGGACATATCTCCCTGGACTTCGCGATGAGGTCCTCGGAGCTGATGCCGTGCTCGACCCGAGCAGCATGGACGTCCTCCATCGTCTCCACCCTGATGTCGCACGTCCAAGAGTCAGAAGGCAGTTGGCTAGTGGGTGTGTGAGAAACTTACACGCCGCGTATGTGCTTGTTCATTGCCGTGATCCCCGACGCGAGCATGCTCGGTACCGCGGGCATCGCGCTCCCGGCGCCACGCCCGTAAGCGTCTTGCATCCCCCGCACCGTGAGGACGTCCCCGGCGATGGTGATACACTGTCCGGCATAGGCGTCCGGCGAACGCATGATGGCATAAGCTATGCGTCCAATGTCGTCGGCGGCCTAGGACCAAGCAGTGTGAGATATAATGGTAGTAGGAAGCCGGAAAGAAGGCTAGGAACGCACAACAAGCTGCAACTTCGTGTCCTTCTTCAAGCCAGACCGCACCACCGAGAACGTGACACGACCGACGAGACCTTCAAAGATCTCCATGAAATATACCGGGCGGATGATTCTGGAGTCTAGAGATGAGATGTAGAGGGCTGCGAGAAATTATTACGACGCACGTCCAGCTCAGGCCCTGTTTCGACTTGATATTCTCCTCGATATTGACTTTGGCGAGGTGACTCAGCGTTGCATGCTCGTCGCGGCTGTCGTGGGCACGGTCGGAGGAAGAGTAGAGGAATTGCTGCACGTTGAACTCGCACGCCAGGTCCGTGACCAGCTAACGCGGTGCTGCTCAGACGGACGGCTCCGCGTAATGTCCTGCACGCGACGCACCTTGCCTTGAGCCTCCTCTCCAGACCCGTCCACACCGAGTCCGGGGAACGCCAACACCATGAATACTCCCCAGATCCCGCCCTCCGGCTTCGCCTTCTCATCTTCAAACACTTTCCGTACACTGTTCGCGTTGTTCAGGTCCGCTGAGACGACGCTGACGTGGTCACCTAGGGCCGCGAGCTCTCGAGCGGCCGGAGAACTGGTGTTGCGTGTGAGCGCGATGAGGTGGAAACCGTCCTTGGGCGCGCCCTCAGCCTTGCGAGCCTCGGTAGCAGCGCGGACGAATGCGCCGCCTTGTTTGCCTGTAGCACCGACGACTAAGATCTTGCGAGAGGCCATGGAGGTGGTGTGAGAGCTATGTTGTCTTCGAAGGCTGCTTAGCCTCAGTAAATGACTTCTGTGAGACTCGTGATGGGGCCTGTGCAGATGTTTGATGCGGTGAGATTCAGGGTCGCCGTAGGCACGCACAGCTCTTCATCGTGGGAAAGGCAGGTATTTAACGTTTAACGCGTAAAATTCGACTGGGATGGTTGCCGCTGGTCTGTCCAAACTTTGAAAGTAGCCAGCAACAGCCGGGCGTTGGTTGCTAGGCAACTCATATTTATTTGTACATGTTAGGATCCAAAGGTTTCGCCTTCCTAATGTGGTCAGTGTCACTTTCCTGCTCCTACGCTCTCATCCTCTATCACTCTTTGCGCGTACACTATTTGCCTAGGGTATCAATGCTACAAATAGCACACAGTTATATTGAGGAGGAGAATACTTGGGTATCGTTTATCCTTGGGTATCAATCGTACTCTGCATACGGCGGCGGCATCGTGCTCGAACTGTGCATCGAGTGCGCATCCGGAACGGTCTTCATCGTCCCGCTACTATCTCTTCCTCCTGCCAACCTGACCCCGCCGTCTGTAGCGTACCGCGTCCCCGACTGCCGAGCTTCTTGCTGGTTGGCCATCTGCTCTTTTCTTTGCGCTTCAAGGCGCTGGGCGCGGCGGATCGTCCGTCCCACTCTCGAATACTTCTCCAGAGCTGCGCGCCCTTCCAGAATGTGCGATGGGAGACGGGGAATAGGTGGCGTGGATGATTTGGATGGTGCGGATGGTGCGGCGTCGCTGAAAGGGTCGCCGTACACGGCGATGTGGCTGACGGAGCTGCCCAATGGCAGCAGGCTGGCCGTCCGAGACTCAGAGATATCGACCGTCTGTGGCCTCGCGTCTTTTTCCATAGGGGTATGTGCCTCTTCTTCGTCCGCTGTTCTCACAGCGTCATAACCTACAGGTGCGGACGATGCAGGAAGGGCATGCTGGGCGCGGTCTAGCACCGGCACCTGGAAGGGCTCTGCGGAGCCTCGTTGTCGGTACGTACACAAGATGAATAAATGTCTTGTCGACTAACCAACTTCCTTGCATAGCTCATCTGGCTTTGCCGTGGCCTTCTTTCGGGCTCGTTTCCGCCAATATCGGACAGCAAGGAAGGCGATTGCTATGAGACCCAGTGCTGTCAGCAGTAAAGGAACAGCCAGAGGCACTATCACAGAGTTAATCTAGCCTCTTCTCTCAATGTACAGATTCTTTATAGGAGTTCACGACGCACCATGGTGTCCTCCGCATCCCTGGCCTCCGCATGAGGGCGCTGAGCAACACCGTTCTCGCCCTCGTGTCCCTGGATTGCGGGCATGTCTTGGCGGCTGCGAAAGGAGACACTGGCAAGGAGCGAACAGAAGATACCTGGACGAGTTGGAGGAACGGTAAAGATATATCACACCCCGCGTTCAGTGGAGGTTACCATCACTGATTCTTGTTGTACGCCAACAGTCACAGACTATATCTGTTACCTTGCACACTGTCCTTGTTGTATGATGGACAAGGCACGTTTCCTCTTCTGGCTGTCTGCAACCGAACAGCAGTTAAGGGTACATTGAAGGCTTTGAAGCGCATTCCGCGGCTCTTCTATTGTTCCCACCCCTTGCCCGACGCTCCGAGAGTTGACGCACCAAGCTGTCCCAACAATCTCTGACAACAAAGTCGCATTGCCGTAAGTGATGTATTCCATATGCACCTGATGTGGGATAGCGGATCCAATCTTGTTGGTCCAACACGGTCCCAGCCCGTGGCATCGTCTCCCCTCTCATCTGATCAATCTGGTCAGGACGTGAGAGAAATACGCTGTTATCCCAGCTGAGAACGTGGCACAGTCCTTTCACTCGTGCACAAGCTCGCGCGTCAACTCGTCCGTAATGTGTGTCAGCGCTAATGTCGCTGTACAGGAGAAACAGTGAGCACTGGCATCATTACGGAGGACACACGCGTACCTCTTCCAGAGGGCATAAGGTTCGTTCGCGATGTATTTGCCGAGACTGCCTGTAAATTTGCTTACAGATGGAGTACATTCTCAGGCGCATAACTCAAGCTTTCCAGGGGAAAATGAAGAGAGCGGGGTGAGGGAGGCGGAGACTGCCAAGCAAGCGCAGATATAGAAGCAGGCTTATCTCTGGTTTGCTCTCTTGAGCTCAGACGGTGAGTTGGAGGCTCCGAAAGCAAACATATATCACACGCCAAAATATCTTTAGAAGCGGTCTAGTGTGTCTTCTATGGCTGTGACCTCTGCGATGTCGTGACTACCGCCCATCAAAGCGGACATAGCTGTTAAGCCTACCAATGACTGTCGACCACGAGGCCTCAGCGACCCCACAAGGTCTGTGGCATTGCCGTGATCTGTCAGCAAACGAAAGTTCCCGCCTCCGCTACGTTCCCGAGACGCCCATGGGGGCTGGGGTTCCTGGTTACTGTAGCGGAGCGAACGGTACAAACCGTAACGCATAACGCACCCCCTCACCGGTTTGTAATTCCGGTCTTCTTGTCACGCTTCATGGCTTTTCAAGGGTCTGAAGGGAGCATAAGCCAGTTTTTATAGGCAGTATGACTATTTCTCTGGCCTTTTCATTGCTTTCAAGCCTTCAGCAAGGGCTGTAGTTGCAGATAGGATTGTCAGAAGCACCTGATTAGCCAATATTTTCCCCCACAAACTAACATGTCACGCATAACCCCAGGCCGGTTTGTAGCATGGAGGGCAAGTTAACTGTCACGCCTCCCTGGCCGGTTTGTACCGTTCACTCCGCTACAGTAGTAGAAAAGAGATAATTGTGTATTCTTATACGGTCTCAATGGGTTTCGTCTAGGGTAAAGGCGGGGGTGCCCATGTTCGTTTCAGGACTCTTGAGAGTACGTCGGGACGTCATCACATACTCGCGGATACTCCAAATCTTGTAAAGAAAAGAGGCTAACCATGGACGAACAATAATGGACACGTCCTTGAGCTAGGGTGTCGAAGTGAGCCTGAGGAAACGATGGCGACTGGGACGGTCCCCGACCGAGCAAAGTCAGAGAAGTCCGCTTCGCGCTTTGACATTCAGCCACCACGACAACGGCATTCCGCTGTCCTTTGACCCTTCCCTACTGTCCCGGCACCGATTTCCTCTTGGCAGAACGCAAATAGTAGTGGGTGGAAGATATGAAGATGGGGAGAGCGTGACGGTGCGAGCCAAGGTGCGAGCTCAGGCCGAAATATTGAACGCTCGCGTCGGAAGCCGCAGGCAGGCTCCTCTTTGACCCCAACCGCCTGCATCTTTCCTCGATTACTCCCTGCATCTCAGCATGGCTGCCAAGTCAGTACTCGATGCGCACGTACAGAGC